AATTACGAGTGCGTAAATACACACACACACACACAATTGCACGCGTAATCGCGCATATACACGTATATGCCATGTATTTAGAGTTTATCGAATTTGCTTGAGAAAACTAACGTCTTGATGCGACGACCGATCCGTCCCTCTCCCCCCTTCCCCCCGTTTATCACGAAGCATATTTTAGAGAATTAATAATAAAGAGATTAAAAAAAACCTCGACGAGTATCGACGAGTATCTCGTTCATTAAAACTCGTTAAAACTCGTGGCGAGCGGCTATAGAATGGGCTATAGGATATTACGTATAGGGATTTATAAATTAATGTTACATATCATACAGTTTTTAGAAATGTGTTTTTGAACAATTGTTAGATTCATCGTTGTCATTTAGCTCCTCTTCCATTACGTACGGCTCGACGATAACCCCTCCCCCATCCTCTTCATCGTTCTTCACCGCACCATGTTAAATGTCGCATCCTCGTGAAATTTTATTATTCATCGTCGAGTGTCGAGTCTCCATGTTGGAAGGGATAGGTAGAAGTAAGCGGGAGAGGAAAAAAAGAAGATAAAAATGGACGAATAAACGACGTTAAGAGACGCTTTTTTCTACTTGCGATCGATCGTTCTTCCCTTGCTTAGTATGATGTAAAGGCGACGTACACACCATTGTTTATATTATTACGTGGAGACGAAGTGGAAGTAAGGCGTTAGCCGCCGTCCACGTAGCCGCTCGTCCAAGCTCTTCGAGATTTTTTTCGCGTCTGACTCGCGCGATGGTTTCGGGCCAAAATCCGAGAATTTTCGAAATTCGAAACGACTAATTTTATTGTACTCTTAAAAAGAACAGAAAAATTGGATTTCTTTTCAAAACAATTAACAATTGGTTTTCGCAATAATCACAAATATTCTAAAAATTTGAAGTCACATTTCCAATCGAGTCTAATCATATAGATTTTTGATAGACAGAAATATATAATACCGATTTCTAAAAATATATCATCACGTTCATAATACAAGCCGTGAACAAGTATAGAATCTTTGTACAAATATTGCTTCTATAACACCAACTTCTTTCTACAAACGTTCCATTGAATGAACCATCGAGCACGATGCGCGAGTCAGCGTGAAAGATCAAGATTCACAGACGAATCGGTTGTTGCACGGATTCGTTGTGTTTATTATATAGTATATATACATATATATATACACACACATACATACATTGTACGATATAATTGACATTATCGGCATTAAAGCGAGACGAGTGATTTCTCATACACGTACATGGATACATACATACACACACGTACATACAAGAAGACTAAAAAAAAAAATAGTTTTTAACGTGAAAGATACGAATTATCGCTGCTGTTATTGGTTTCGAAAAATTGGTTTATCAAAGTAGATAAACTTATGTACCTATATCGTTTAACCGTAGCCGTCACATTGTTCGCGAAACGTTCATAACGCCTATGTAGTGGTATTTATTGCTCGTCGCATAGAGTTGCTCATCCCATCGTTTACCGCCAAAAAGAAAGAAACAAAGAAAAAAAAAAATATAAGAAAAATGTAACGGAGAAAAATCCAAGTGGTGCGTTAATCGAGTGATAGCTCCTACTGTTCGATCTTCGAATTATATTCTCTCGTTCGCGAATGATCGAAAAATAATGGTCGAGCGGAATTTTTAAACAAATTTCTCACCTATCGTTTTATTTTAATATGGATGAATCTAGAAAGAATGTATATTGCGTATAATAAATTATATTGCCATTTGATGATATCGTACGAGAATGAAGAAAAAAAAAAAAAGGAAAAAGAAAAATCGCGCGCAAATTTTTTCTTATCAAACCGTTTCTCATTTCTCTAAATCGAAGCTCTACATTAAGAATCTAAGGAATCTCGAGGAAATCGAACGGAATTACTTTTTAAAATTCTCATCTCGTTTATTTGTTTGTCATTCTTCTTTCGCAAATTGATCGTACACAAGATTCATAAGGAAAAATGGTGAAATTGAAAGAAACGCGTTGTTTTGTCGTTCAACTTGTCAACTCGTGAGAAATATGTAAATAAACGATTTTTTTAGAGAAAACGAGGGAGTTAGTTCCGGACGGAAGCGGCGTCTTGTCGCTTGTTAAGCGAGGCGTCTTTGCACGACGGTGAAATTACGTGTTCAGACAGATATGAAGAATCTCATGAATCATCGTGTACGTCTCGCGCGTTCACAAACGCATCTTCCTCTTCTATATGCGTTGTTATTCGATCGCGGTTGTTATAAAAGACTTTCACTCGATGATATCGAGTCTGTTAGACTGGAAATTATTAACATTTCCACTAAAAAGAAAAAAAAAAAAACCATTTTATAGCGGACAATTATTCTTTTTTTACACACACACACACATATATATATATATATATAATGAAAAGTAGAGCTAGACGATCGTAAAACAATTTCTTTGATGAGAGAAATTGCTCTCTGATGATGAAAAATTCAGCGAGGCGAGGGATAAAATAAGAAAAGAAACAGCGTTGAAAAATTCAAAAAGAGATGGATTCAATATCGTCGAATCGAAGAAGAAGTGTATAAATTACTAGTTTTTATAAGGATTGCGAAATTATTTCTTTTATTCCCGCGAACGATCGAAAGTTATTTTGCTTTCACTCACGTTGTTCTGTATTTTCAGAAATAAAAAGGGGAGGGCTATATTTCTCAAAGTGAAGTGGCAAGTTAACGATTCAAACATAAATAAAAAACTTATCTTCGATCGATTCGATTCTACGCTTCATCTTGTGTCGTATATATATCATCATATATCGGGGAGATAAAGAAAAAAGTAATATGCGAATAAATATTGTTGCGTAGATGCATCCGTACGATAAGCATCCGTTATTATTCGTAGTGGCATAAATGTTAATTATGAGAGAGAAACGGCCACACAACGGTTACTATACATATCAAATATCGTGCATTGTAACGATGTAACGGGAAACCTATATCATGATGCGTGCTCTACATATACATACTTAGATATAATACATTAGCAAGATAAGGGACTACGTAAGACAGAAAAAAAAAGATGATAAAAATATATATATAAGATATGTATATACGTATTATATATATATAGCGTGGTTATATCCTCTCGCAGAAAAAGGGATCGATGGGGTTCGAAGCTTCACGGAATTAGGAGGATCCTCTCTAATTTTCAGTTTTTCTTTCTTTTTTTCCTTTTTTTCATCGAACGAGTATCCTCCTAATTACTCTTTACTAATTTAATAACCGAGCGATTCGTGGCCAGGAAGATCGAGAAAGATCGAGACGCTCTAGAGATCTCGTGTATCGTGATAAAGAAAAAAATTGCGAGCAATGAACAAGGCTGCCTGAACGCCGAACGAAAAAAAAAAAAAAAAAAAA